TATCGTTCAGTTTGATCAGCGAGGAGTCGTTGACAATGTCCTATTGGTAAGTCTTAGAGAAACAACTAGTCGAATCGCGTTTAGTTCCCTTAGGAAATTATTTCAGTTCCTTTAAGGACATTTTTTTAAACGATAAGCTCCGATAGTTGTGTTGGATTTTATAAGTATCGGATATAAGGAATGTAGTGTAGTTAGTTTAACAAAAGCAGTTTCACTTTTACTAGGTAGTAAATGTTGAAAATTTATAAGTATCAATAATATAAATATAATATAAATCACAAAGCAGTTTTTGAGATGAGGATATTTTAGGAATGTAGCAATTATTTTCTTTTAAATATTTGTCGAATTAATAACCGATGGGTCGTCAGTTCAAAGTACTTTTTCCACCTTGTCGACCAGACTTTTGATTTGCTTTTTTGAATAAAGGAACTTATTCATCTGAAGTAAAAATTAATTTCTAAATAGCGTTTTGTAAATGCTCTGATTAATCTTGCTTTACACCATTTGAATAAAGTGAATCATATTGAAATATTATGAGCAAACAAGCATCATTCTTTACATTTTTAGCACTACAGCAGAACTTTCGTTGAAGAAAGTTTAACGTTTAAATATTACTTTAAGAAAAAGTGCCAGTGTTGCTCGAAACTAACCCAATTATTAACGAAATTAATTAGAAAAAAATACCAACACATTTTAAAACAAAAAAAATATATATTTTTCGAATATAAATAAGTGGCTCAATATATTCTTCAATGTGCACGACTAAATTTTTTTACGGAGTTTTTCCGCTGGCTTAGAGAGCTTTGGAAGTGGGAGAGTGCTAGAAGTGCTTGGAAGAGAATTGCTACTTTGGCAGGATGTTCAGGTCGGTGTGTTTTCTGATTCTTCTCAGGATGATGCGTACTACTTTGCTCAGTGCAGGCAGTCGGAAAATATATTTACATTAGCAGTCGGTCGAGAGATTTCTTAACGCTCATTTTGTAAATTTGCTTTTGCAATTTTAAGAATAACAATAACAGAATTAAAGAAAGAAAAATCTGGAACATGCCTTGACATTATAAACCCCATCCAGAAAAATTTGCGATTTCATATTGTACTCAAGTGGTTTGGCAACCTAGCTGTTGCTTCGGTAATGCTCCAGTTCTGGATAATACAAACACCAAGTTTTCCACTTTTCCTGCTTCATAAGTTACAGTAAAGAAAATTCTATTCATAATTCCAGAAGTATTCTATATATTCTGTGCGCGAACTGTTTCATTCATTGCATGAACTCCATTCTTTTAGCGAAAACATATACATAATTAGTTATATGGAAATGTCCGAGAAAGATGGGTTTGCATACAAATATACATCTCTTTCAGAGGTAAATTCTATTCGTTAGTTTTAAAGTCTTACTAATTTTTTTTTATATTTGCACATACGAGTGTATCGTAGAGTATTCACTAAATATTTATAATTTGAACCGGTGAGCATGACGAAGAATCAAGTATTTCTTGTTGATATGGCATTGCTCTTTCTCGCTCTATAATATTTTTCAGTGTTTATCTGCATCAAGCACATTTGCGTTCATCCATCAGAGATCAAAATCAAAAATAATATCGAATATAAACTAAAAGTATATGGGAATCACAATATTAAAAAAGTAACCCACGGAAAAAACATTCCTGAATGAGATACGAGTGTTTAGATATGGAAAACACAAAATGTTTTTTAATTCCTTGAGTTAGTAGTAGTGAAAACATTTATTTGTATCACAAACACTTTCATATTATTTTCTTTATTCATTCCCATTTATTCTTTTACCCTATTAATATAATAATAACATAATTGTTTGCTTCCTTACTCTGGTTTCTGTCTCCATCTTAAAACATGTTCATTTCTTCAGCTCTTTGAGTGTATTTAGGTTTCCTGTTCTTTCTCTAACCGCTAAAGTTCTCGTTTTCCGTTCGCTTAGGCAATTTTGTTCCCCTTCATCATTTGTTGTCTAAAATCTAGTAAAAAGTATAAATGAAATATTTTAAAAACGCCTTTTCCTTGAAAAACCTGTTTAGTTCTCCGCCTCTGATTTTATGCGGGTTTGCTACCATTTAAGAAATATACGTTTCAATATGATAAACGGCTTA